ACTCAGCTCGTCGTGCTGATCAAGAATATATATACTTTATGGGGTCTGCGATGATACCTTCTTCCTGTTACATACTTTTCACAAAACCACTATACCCTGATTTCCCATTTTCAATGGGTTCAGGGTATAAAAATTGAGCAAAAAGGATCAAAAACGGTTATAGTCTCTGATAATAGAGGGTTCAGACAACACGTTTGCAATTAAACTTCATCACTACTTTCCTCTATTTGAAAGTTATGTTCCACGAAACACGAACTATTTTGTTATTTTTTAGCTAAAATAACAACAAAACATTGAACAACTAGACAATCAAACAAATGTTCTCAAATATTTGAATTGACAGTTTATAGTACATACCATCAGTAATGTTTTCCATTTTTAAAGTTAAAAATTTTCTTTTGATTTACCGCAATTTCACAGAAAAATTTCTATACAACCTTTTTAGTCGGTGGTTGAGATGCGAAAAAAAAGAAAGTATGGCCGATCCCATGAAGCGGCAAGTCATCGCTTGGGAACAATTCCTATGGCATAGGTACTCCTGTATTAAACTGCCAGATTCGTGATTGCGCTTAACTGCGCTAAGCCAGTCCTTGCTCAGCGGATTACCTATTCCTTTTTTCCTATTCGCATATTCTTGTACATAATATATAAATAGAAATACCTATTTTCACTTAACAGAAAAAATACCTTATATGTAATATGACGCTCAATGCTCTATTAGCCATACTATTTCTTAGCTTCATTTTGACAATGTTCATTTAACTAAAAAACCTTTCTACACGTACGTCTGTACGTCTGCGTTCGACCGACGCGATTAAGCGATAAAAGGTTTAGTGCAAATGACGCCAGTGCCGAGAACCGTTTCGTCCCTTCTCCATCTCGATATTTGAACACTTCGGCATAAAAGGGTATAGTCTCGTCTATATTGCACCACTGAATTAGGTGGATGCTCGCGTACTGCATCAAAATTTCATCAATGTCGGTGGATTCCATCTTAAAATGCACTAGAATATTTACAACGTCATTTTTTTTTTGCTTATAGTATTTTTTTTTTTTTACAGAAAACAAGTTAACTTGCTGAAGGATTTCAAAATTATCAGGCAGCTCGAAAAAATGTATAGTTTAATAAAAGAAAATATCACGACTAATTCATAATTACATACCTCGGTTTTAGCTCGTTGATTAATGCTAATATAAAGCTGGAACATTTCAAACGAAATTCTGCCTCAATTTCTTTCGAGATTTTTTCCGTTTACTCTTTAAGCTTTGTTTTAAATGCATATCCCAAATAGCAGTCATGCTTAACGAATTGTTCGAAGTCTCCTTTTAAAATATTAATATTGACATCAGGGAAAATAATTTTACTTTTAAATTAATTTATCGTATATACGAGATCACTTAATAGTTTGCTTGAGTCTCCAGTGCTTGTTTGAACAATTTTGTTGATGTGCTGTATTTGGGCTAGCACTGGTTGCAAGAACAGAAGATTCAAATTATTAACGTCATCACTATAAAGTTTTTACAGCGTCTGCGCCACAAAACATTTTTCATTCGTTGCAGCAATGGTGAAGTGAAGCGTCGGCTCAATCCATTGCTGCGGAATTCGGCTAACTGCTTTTTCAATGGATAGCCACATTGTCTCGCAAACTCGAGGTATTTTAAGAAAGTCCCAAAGAAATGCATATTATTCATATACAAAATATATGTACATACATATATAAACATGTACGAAACACAAACTACATACAAAAATACAAAAAGATGTCTCTTTCACCTGGTCGGAAATTATAATTTAATATAATATGATTATATATAATATGATTACGCCCTGAAAATTTCATTAAGATCGTATCTTTACAAAAGAAGTTATCATATGCGGGGCATCTGAAACATTCAAAACCACTTGGCCGGTGTAATAAACCAACTGAACGAATCGTTCCAACATATAAGATGTTGAGTTCCGCCGTGTTTTCACATCCAAAAGCACTTTTAAAACATTCGTCTTTGAGACGCCAGCAGAAAGCTGCAACTGTTGCAAGTTCTCTTTGGATTTATGTTACGGCATTTGGTAATTAATTCCGATGTTTCCTTTATATCCAAAGCATTCGTGCACACGAAGCATGGGAGATGTTGGGACGTTCCAAAGCTTTGAGGTATTGCTCTAACAATATTTGCGCCGTTATCTGTCACCACTGCCGTAACCTGTTTTTTTTTTTAAATAGAAAACTTTTCCAACGCCGTCAAGAGCAACTCAGAGATGTGCTCATCAGTATGGGTTTCATATAATTTAAAAACTCCAATTGTAGCTAAGATTTGCTTCTTTTCAAAAAAAAGTGAAGAGTTATGTTTTAAAAACTTGATTGTGTTCCTTGCTGGCACTTTGTAAAGGGGATGATGCTTCATCCATTTCAAACAACTTTTTCCTATTGTAACGAGTTACATTATAAAGCGCAGATGGTGGAATAGGAGGGATGGTGCAGTGCACGCGCTGGATCCGGCCATTGTGACATCGGCCACTTGCTTAGAAAAAGAAAAGAGAGAGAGATAAAACAAATTTAAACTCACACAATCATACCTGTCCAAGCTGGGTCTCGCTGCGCAAGCAAATATGTGCCTGCTCAGCAAAAGTCGGCCTTCGATATTAAGGCGACCGACCGTGCCCACCCTACCTTGATCGCTGGCTACCTGCCTATATTATCACCGATCCCATCCCCAGCTTGGAGAGCTAAGAAAAACCTATAAAAGCGCGCCGCATAACCCCAAAATAATGAAACTTAATTAAACTTCATTAGATTTAATATAAACAAAATAAGTATACATATGTACATATGTAAATTTTTGTTTTGGGAAGAAGGCATAAGAGAATATAAGCAAACGATATGAAAGCTTTAGGAGCGCTTTTTCTCTCAGCCTTGGATCAGCTGATCGAAATGAACATAGTGGAATGATAATAAGAAATTATGTTTTTTTTTTTCATGCATCGGGTGATATTAACGCTGACAGCAAATTGCTAAATATGTAATGGTGCTTCACTTACAGTGATATCCCGCGAAGAAAGCGCTTCCACTTCAGTGTGGTTGCAAGATGAACTAAAAACAAGTAAGAAAGCTCTAGTCGAGACTGCTCGACTACGAGATCCCCTGA